AACCTCCCCGGTATAGAAGGCAGCCACGTAGTAAGGTGAGAGTCTCCTTCTTCTGCCTGTCGCCTTCACCCCCCCGTCGTCGCCCGAGTGAATCGTCCGTCCGTCACCTGAGCAGCGACGACTGATCTTCATCCCCCTACCTGGATCTAACCTCCACCCGCTCTGGTGTGGAATTCGTATTCTCTGTCTACTATTGCTAATGAAGATTCCTCATATTCTACAGTCCTTCCAAGCAAGAAAACCAGGACCAACCACCCCTTCAGTTGTCAGGCCTTAAGTGAAGTCTGACATCCGCCGGATTCCGAGGAAGACCTCGTTGATTTCCGGGGTGAACGCAGGGGCGGATCCGCTACTGTGGAGAGCGCATTGACCTGCACTTACACATATTCCACAGTGAAGCTTCTAGAGCAATCCCCAACGATTTCACAACATGGGAACCAAAATGCGCAAATACTTTTCCGAAACCTAATAATTACATTAAATACGGGATCAGGGGGAAATAGGACATGTCGGCTTCCGCCGATGCGATGAACAGCCACCTCGGTCTTATCTGGTTTCTACACGGCCAACTTAGTGGCACGATGTACTAGAATACGAACTCATCCGATTTCCATCAACCTCTATCTCTCGCCTCCGTGACATACAGTACCGCTCGAGAGCTTATTCGGAGCTCGAGGACGAGCTTACTGTAGAATTGGAGATGTCTTATCCTTGCCAGCCAAAGGCCACCTGGACGAGGCCGCCTAGATGAGATGATGCATCAAGATGAAGATGCGGACACTACACCGGGCACCTTTAAATCGTGCTACCTGGCAAAAAGTGGGCTGCTGCTGCTGCTGTCTCATCACGATCGTACACCCCATCGCAGCGGCGAAAGCCGACTTGCCCTATTTCCCACTGATCCCGTATTCAATTATTTAAAACCAGGCGGCTACGCACGCTCTTGCGCGCGCTAGGGGCTCTAGCCATGAGAGACGGAGCAGCATGAGCTGATTTTCATTATAGACCTTTATCGGATTTATGAGTTTCCGCTCAAACCTCGCCTCCTGTGGGTGGAGTCTGGTCCTGCCACCCACCATGAGTGTTCCCATCCTTTCGCCTGTACTCCTACCAAGTTTGAACTTTCTAGGTCCATGGGGACGGGAGTTATGAATTTCCGCACAAACCCCGCCCCTTGTGGGCGGAGTCTGGTTCTGCCACCCACCATAAGTGTTCCCATCCTGTCGCCTGTACTCCTACCAAGTTTGAACTCTCTAGGTCCATGGGGACAGGAGTTATGAATTTTCGCACAAACCCCGCCCCTTGTGGGCGGAGTCTGGTTCTACCACCCACCATAAGTTTCCCCATCGCGGTTTCTGTACTCCTACCAAGTTTGAACTTTCTAGGTCCATTGGGACAGAATTATGAATTTTCGTATATAAATGTAAGAAGGGATGTGAGCTTCGAGGCACACTCCGCCCATTGTGGGCGGGCCTCCGCTGACGTCATTTATGCTGGAGACACCCCCGACAATGCTCCTCCCACATCAACTTTTTCCTGCTCTGTTGGCTTTCTCCAAACCGAGTTATAAATGTTTTCATAAAGCATTTTTGGAGAACGCCCCGCCCATCGGGGGTGGGTCTCCACAGTTCGATCTAACTTACCAATGCACACCTCAAGCCACCTTTGAACCCCAATTTTGAGGCCGTCTTGTGGCTGGATTTGAAATCATGGTCCTCGGTAGGGTTCATTTCGAGGCACGCCACGCCCACTGTGGGCGGGGCTCCGCCAAGCTGATGTGTGTTTTATACTTCTCGAGACCTGGCCCACCCATCCCACACTTGATGCGGTCTCTCCAGGCAGATCTAAAGGAGCTAAGGAATTTCGTGACAGACATACAGACAGACAGACAGACGGACAGACAGACAGACTAAGCGCTTTATAATAAGTAGGATGATATAATAATAAAATATGTATATACCCTACTGTGTCTGTTACCTCTAACACGAACTCACGTCCCGCTGCGCTAACAACTATAGGAGTCACGAAGCTATTATTTGATACAATGCCTTCCTCTTCATTAG